TTAGAATAGACGAAATAGAATAAAAAATAAGAAAAAAATCAATGAACCCAAATAAATAAAGTAAATAATAAACAAATTAGCAAACCATTATGACCAAAATTAGACTATAAAAAATCAAACCAATAATCGGACGAAAAAAATAACTATAACTGTTATATAACGATAAAATAAAAAAATACTACGTTACTTAAAAATCGAAAACCGAAAAGAGAAAATATACAGTATAACAAATAAATAATAACAAGTAAAATAAATTGACCTAAATTCATCCAAATAAATAAATAAACTAACACACTGATCCCGATAAACTAACCGTTAGAAAAAACAAATAAAGATAATCAATAAATGCATGAAGGAATAAACAAATTAAAAACTGTTCCCGCCAAAATAATAGTTAGAATAAACTCCAACAATCAACCCCAAAATTGAATAAATGGCTTTAATTATCTTCCCAAACCCAAAACAAAACTATTAAATAAGCGATATAAACAAATTTTTACTACGTTAATAAAAACATCGATTAAAATAAAAAATAAATAAATACATAAATAAGATAAGAAATAAAAAAAAATAAAAATAAAAATGAATAAAAACAAGCAAAATAATTTAACCCAAATAAATAAATAAACACACAAATAAACGACTTCCGGTAAAATAACCGCCAAAATAGACTACCCACAATGCACCACTGACCCGTATATATATATAAATAGCCGAGAAAAATAACATCACTCGTGGCCTGACGATTGCATCTAGCATGAAACAGACTGTCGCCTCTAAGTGTTGACTTCTATGTTCACTTTTATATTTACACACGCTCTATCTCAGATATTGAGCACTTTATCCCATAAATATAGCATATCTTAAGACTATATATACACACATACTGTCAGAAACAAACTAGACAGAGAACACATACATACACCCACACGCACGAATCCTACGCAACATGTGTGTGTATATATATACTGTTTCCTTGTAATAAAACAATACATCTGTATGGAGAAGGAATATCTATCTATCTATCTATCTATCTATCTATCTATCTATCTATATATATATATATATATATATATATATATACGCATACTAGCAAAACAACACGCACACACACAATACACAAAAATGGAGAAAGGCTTGAAAAGCTGCAGAGGGCAGAAAAACATAAGAACAAAGACCTCATTCCTTCCCCTTTCTCTCTGACCAATCCTAATTTTATTATTACCCCTTAATCAAAAGAAGATTTTTCCACCAATCCAAGAAGAATTTGGATTACTACCACACACAAAAGACAATAGTTAAACATAAGAAATCATGAGAAAAATATTAATTCCTTTAAATAATATGTGAAAATAACCATTCTTCGCCTGATGAAGGCCACAAAACCCGAAATGCATGTAGATAAAAATATGGAAAAAAAAGTATAATATATTCAAAAAAATTACACATTATAACCAAAAAACGTTTGCGGCTTCTCTTTTCACTTTAATCTCTCTCTCTCTCTCTTTTCTCTCTCTCTCTCTCTCTCTCTCTATATATATATATATATATATATATATATATATATATATATATATATATATATATATATATATATATATATATATATATATATATATATATATATATATATATATATATATATATATATATATATATATATATATATATATATATATATATATATATATATATATATATATATATATATATATATATATATATATATATATATATATATATATATATATATATATATATATATATATATATATATATATATATATATATATATATATATATATATATATATATATATATATATAAAAAATTCATGGGTGTTATTATTAACCTGTCATTTTTCCTTCAAGCATTATTTTTAGTGGATACACGTATTTAAGTAGACGACACGTTTTGTTTTTTTTTAACCAGTCTGCCAAATTGGTAACGGTACCCTTCGTCCAGAGAAGTGTTTTTTCTTGAGAAAAAAAAGGGGATACAGATTCAATTCCTTTCGACAGTGTCATTATTATTTTTTGTAGGACTTTTCGATCTAGGCCGGTTGTTATTAAATTTCACTGCTTCAAAAAATAAGATAAAAAAGAGGATAGCATCTGAAACGTATTTACCCAATAAAAATAACGCTTAAATCAATATATATATATATATATATATAATCGTCTCTCCCGTCGCGTTCGACGTATGAGGGCCAGGCCGATAAGTCCCCAGGAAACCGACATCCCGACACCGGCACATGAGATTTGTTTATAGTGGTGAAGGCCTTGTGCAGGACCAGCCACACTTTTTGGAGGGACGAATACAGAAACCTGGTGCACCGAATGCATGCCACAAGGTTCCCAAACGACCCTCCGCAGGTTCTGAATTCAGAGTTGTCCTTCTCCTAGACCAGTTGCCATCCAAGGCTATAGAACAGTCTGTCCTGCTATTTTTCTTCCCATAGCTGTGAGGGGAGATGAAGAGGATACATACCTTTCCCAAGGGTATTAGCACGTAAGTGAATATATATATATATATATATATATATATATATATATATATATATGATAATATCGTTTTAAGGTATGGTATATTTATGGGTTAAAATGCTCCAGTATCAGGGATAGTGCGCATGCAAGCAGAACAGGTGAAGGTAGAAAGGCAACTAATTGTGTTTCGCCAATACTAGAAGCTCATCAACCAAATCATGAACAGATGTAAAGCGTCTGTGACCACAATCATAAATAGCCTCGATGTCATATCTTTCTCAAAAGACAGGGCGAACCTCTTCACCTCAATCTTTGCCTCAAATTCAACGTTAGATGACAAAGACCATCCCCTCCCTAACTTCCCACATCTCATTGACCAGTATCTCAGTAATATTACCATTACAGCCCAAGAAATATCTAGACTTATTAAAAACCTTAACCCTAAGAAAGCCACTGGCCCAGTCAAAATTCCATTTGTTGTTCTTAAAAATATAAACCCGTAATTATTCTGGAATTAAGTCCGTAAAAGGTGTCAAGCGGAAGTCAGGTTTTCAAGAACGTGGGCGTGCGATCTTCCTCCTTCAAGTACAGACCCATCAGTCTTCTCAGTATCATCAATAAGCTTTTTGAGGCTATAAATAATAAGACGGCTTTCAAGCACCTAGAAAAGGTCTTCAGCGACGAGCTGTGTGGGTTTCAATCGGCCTGATCTGCTACCGACGTCCTATCACCACTCACAGAATTAGCGCGCCTCTTGACGACAAAAACACCTCGAGTACCATAGCATTAGATATCTCGAAGGCTTTTGACAAGGTGTAGCACAAAGGTTTACTACACTAGCCTCCTAGCTATGGAATTACTTGAAGGGTCTTCTCGATCATAAAATCCTTCCTAGCAGGTAGGTCCCTCGAGGTAGTTATTAATGGCCAGTCTTCCGAAGCCATAGCGGTCAACATCGAACAAACCGTCTTTTTGATCTACATAAATGATCTACCTAAGAATATACTCAGATCATTTGTATACACCTATGCCGAAGATACGACTCCAACTTCCGACTTTGCACTCATTTCGATCGCGGGGCCTCGACAGTCCTGCGTCGTTATTTTTCGTCACTACCTCCTCGTGCCGGAGTGGGTAATTTGCTCGCCTGATGCCTTCCTTGGATGTGGTAGCCATTTCGCGTGCTCCCTCTTCGATGAACGGATGTCCCCTCGGGGAGGTACCTTGCCTTGAAAGACTGTCGGGTCTCAAATTCACACCTGACCTCAAGTGGAACTCGTACATACGATTCATTGCTAAGGATGCAGGTAAAATGTTCGGCTCTCTGTACCGCTCAAGTAAGTACCCGACTTCTCCTGGGATCATCTACCTTTGAAAGAGCCAAATCAGGCTGAAAATGGATTATTGATGTCATATTTGGGTGGGAGCTGCTCAGACCCCACTCCCCAGCTTTGAGAGAGTTCAAAAGCGTCTCCGAGTCCTTGTGGGTGATGAACACCTTTCAACCACTCTCTCACAGACGGGATGTGGCAAGCTTCTCACGGCCCTATCGCTATTTCCCATAAAGTTCTCGGACGAACTACATTCCTTGGTCCTGCTAATTTAAACCTTCACAGCAAGGACACGCCATGACACTTATATAGGAGCAAACCACCCAAAATGCCTCCCTATTCCATCGGTGAGAAACAAGTTCTACTCTAACAGCTTCTTCCCACGAACCACTGCTCTGAAGAACCGACTCCCAAGAGGATGTCTTCCCGATCACTATAATCTTAACCTCTGTTCAAAGCTAGGGTTAACGGTTATCTTCCATTCCTATCCACACAAATTGCCTCCTAACGTAACACTCTACCTCGAGTGACGTCCAGGCCTTGTAAATGATGAACCTTACTGTAAACATAAATGTAAATATAGAGCTGTACATTGAAGTCAACACTCAGAGCATATTTATCTATCTATCATCAGTCTGTTCATATCTATCTATCTATCTATCTATCTATCTATCATGCGACCCCCACATTTTCACTTAAAAACTGATTTTATCATGTATCTCGTTTATCATGCAAGTTCCTTTTTGAAGAGATCAAATTACAATAGACTAACCTCTTTTCCTCTATTTCTCTATCACATTTTCGAGTTAAAAAGTAAAAGAGAATGATAAAAGTATCGTTAGTAACGCTATACTAATTGGGTAAACGCGTACGAAAAACAGTTAACACCATATAAACGTAAAAAATGGAAAAGATGCATATTCGCTATGTTTGTTTTTTTATAATGCAATACTAATATGTGAATATTACATGCATTATTATTGGATACAATTAAGTAAAATATTAGTTTTATCAAAATCATGTTCATTTTAAATACAGCTGTACATTTGACTACAATAAATGCATATATAGTTTGCTTAATGGCGTAGCCAGGGCCAGGAGTACAGCTAATTTTATATCTCATGTATGATGTGACCCTCTTAAAATTAGCTTCAAAATTAAGTCTTAAAAAGTTGCATGATACATGAGTAGATGCGATATCTATCTATCTATCTATCTATCTATCTATCTATCTATTCTGGTCTTCTCATATCTATCTATCTATCTATCTATCTATCTATCTATCTATCTATCTATCTATCTATCTGTTCATATCTGTCTATGTATCTATCAGTTTTAATCTGTTCATGCTTGTCTATCTGTCTGTTTGTCTCGGTTTGTTCATATCTATGTAGCTATTTATTTATCTCAATCTGTCCATAGTTAACTTTTCTCCATCACTCATTCTCTTTTTGATTTCGATTTCCTTTTTGTACCGATTCACAACCACAAACCACGGCCCTACAGCATTCATATTTCCACGCCGATGTCCAGTACCCAAATCCGACAAAGGCTGACCGTCCACAAATGCCACACGGGTCCGGTCGTAATTAGTCGATTTGGTTCAGATGACCAGACATCGGGCACATAAATGCTCGCATTGCAAATGTAATTTGGGTAACCATTTAGCGAATGGCCGGTAAAGAAAACACAGAAATGCGAGCTGGTGGATCGGGGATGTTGAACTGTAGAGGGGGTGGTAGGAGTAAGAAGAGACCAAAAATGTTGATAGCGGAGCCGGGGAGGGGATTCGGTCGACTCTCACCTTCATTGGCTTGTATTCTCTTCATATACGCCTCGAATTATACCGGAAGTGTCGGGATGCGAGGATGGGTCTGCAGTTAAACATTTGAGAGAAGTAGGCGTTTGTTGGTTAGGGAGGGGACACAATTGGAGGCACAACTGATGTAATTAAGATAAGAAGAAGAAAAAGAAGAAAAAGAAGAAGAAAAAGAAGAAGAAAAAGAAAAAGAAGAAAAATGACGCAAACAAGATGGATTAGGTTCGATTGAATTGATTGGTAGGTAACAGACTGCTTAAACAGTTCGTATTACATTCGAAGTATTGTTACTACTTTATTTATAATTGTATCTTTTATCTTGAGGTCATCATTAATATTAGACTTATTTTTTTCTGATATGATGCATTGTATTGCAGGCTTTGTTCTGTGTGATACTGATTGTCTTTCTGGACGACAGGACACGGATTTTGTTGGTTTTTAAGAACGTTTTATATTATTAAGTACTTTACAGAAACTTGTGATTTTTTATCTTAAAAGTACTATAATTTTACCTCATTGTATAACACTAGATGGATTTATTAAACAAATCCTTCCAAACTTTCATTCAGTATAATCATTCCATATATAATAAAATTGATTTTTTTACAAAATAATCATTATATATATATAACAATGATTTATTAAATCCTTCCAAACTTTCATTCACGTTAATCATTACGTTTATAACAGCTAGGATTTATTTTCAAAGTCCGTTCAAAATGTCATTCACTGTAATCATTATATATATATATAACAATGATTTATGAAATCCTTCCAAACTTTCATTCACGCTAATCATTATATATATAAAATCGAGGGTTTATTTACAAAATGCGACAAAACGTTCATTTACTTTAATCATTAGATATATAACAGTATGGATTTGTTTACAAAATCCTTCTAAACTTTCATTCACACTAATAATTACATATATAAAATTGAGGGCTTATTTTTAAAAATCTGTACTAAGCTTCCGTCATTCTAATCACTCTTCTTCGTCTTCTCCTAAGTGCAATGTCCCTTCCGGATGTAGGTGATCATGTGATCATGATTCTCTACAACTTATTATCTCTGATGACTTTGTGGTTAGCGTTACATTTTCCAAACCTGCCGCCATTTGTTTCGCTATCCGTTCACACCAGCTCGTCAGGCAGTTGGATCGCTGTCTTCCGCTATCACGCTTGACCTCGATACACGCCCTGTGAGCGTTAAGTTTTACAAGCCATCTTTCCAAATATAAGTGTTCTTTTTGTTACCATTTCCTTTAAGACTTACTCGTTGATTACTCGCCCCGTCCCTGGATTGCTCAGTACACACCTGTAGAACTTCTTCTCTGTTGCCTCCAGTTTTCCCATGGAAAAAAATCTGTCCAAAATTTCATTTACCCTAATCATTACATATATACAGGTGAGTATTTTGAAAGAAATCATTCCAAACTTTCTTTCTCTCTAATCATAACAAAGTATTTATTTTAAAAATCCATCCAAACATATATTCATTCTAATTTATTATATAACACTGAAATCAAGCTTTCTTTTATTAACTCTAACAACACCTATTTCTCACCACACACTCTACACTCCCCTGTCTCCAAGCACTGTCTCTTCTCTTTTTCCTCTCAGGTGCTCGTCGTTAGCTTCGCTAGCGTTGTTGAGTAATACCAACTTTACGGGTCACCCGTCTTTCTCTTCCTTCTTCGGTTGGGGCTGGTGTGTCGTTTCGACTGGGTTGATTCGGGTTTTCCAAAATCCTACGATATTAGGATTGATGGCAAAATTTAGTGTGTAGCACAGACAAGATTACGTAATTCATGCATATGGCCGTCTCTTTATGTCTGAAGGTAACTTCTGAATCAGGTTGGAATAAGAACTCGTTCATTTTTGATAACGCTAAAAACAGGTTTATTGAATATAAAGTAAAAAACGGGTTAAATGATATGTCTCTATTATCTACTGCAAAATCAAGTTCTCTACTACAGGATGGTGATTAGGGAAACGACGCAAACCAACCAGTCGACTCTTTCTTAATTTTTCAAAGTAATAATCATTTAGTCGATTCTGTGATGCTTTTGTCTGTGTTTTCGCACCGACCCAGGAATTTCGAGTGTGCCCTTTAGCGACGACTGTTTTACGAACAATCCTGGGCTGCTCCGAGCCGACTTTTCCAGTCTGTTGGCCTGGGTGCGAAAGGAGCTGTCTTTTATATAGACGGCTCCGCCTTCAAAATTTGACATTCATATATCATATTTCTTCACCCGAACGTCTTAATCTTAGGACCTTATTAAAAAAATGGTACTTTGTTTGTCTTCCTAGATATATTTCTATAAAGATAATTGTGTTCTTGGGCGGTCAACATAACCACATCCTAACACGGAACAGTTGTTTTGTTCTTTATCCAGAATAATTTCTAAGAACACACAGACAGCGCACTGTAAACAAGTTCCGAATTTTAATTTCTCAGAATGAAACGTTTCAACAGGGTAAGTGCCTTGTTACAGTTACATATATTAAGGGGAGAATTTATTAAACAAATTCTTCTAAATGTTCATTCACTCTAATCATTGTATATAATATCAAGTATTAATTAAACAAATCTGCCCAAACTTACATTCACTTTAATCGCCCGTTGGATGTTCCTTGGATCCGTGTCTATGAGTCTTCTTTTACTCGTCTGTTCACGATTCCCATGTCAATGCCTTTCTTGGATTGTATCACCGATTCTTGAATGAAATATTTATCCACACAGATTATCCATGACTGTTGGAGCTTATCCCAGTTACATTTAGCGGACCTTCTCTAATGGCAGCCTGAAATCTTTGTTTTTGTCTCGTTCATGATCGAAAAAAACGAGTGGGCTATTTATTGCTATTTCCTCAGATATTTTCAAGATCCCATCTCCATTTTTTGCTGTCTCGTTCCGTTTATTATTTTGCAGCTTGATATTGCACTTTTTCGAAGTCTCACTCGGTTGATCCATTTGAAAGTTGATATCATTTTTGCTGTATCGTTCTTTTGATCCATTTCCAGGACGATGCCGATTTTTTTCGGACTTTCGATCCGTTGATCCTTTTGCAGGTTGGTAACCATCTTTTTTTTTTTCAGACTCGTTCCGATATCATTCTGCAGGTTGAAGCTTTAAATAAGTATTTAATACAACACAAAATGTACGTTAACAAAATGTTCCGTTGAAACAAAGAATAGGTTGATATCATCAATATTTGCATTATTTATATTCTTGGGAAGATCCTCAGTGTGGGTTGATCTAAATTTTTCAGTCCCATCCAGAGTCTTTGATTCAATTTCTTTTTTCTCTACTATCGCCCTCGTCTCTTCCGGTACCAACCCATATTTATAACGTCGGTTTTCCGCTTATGTAAATTTGGTGTATCATTTGCAAATATGCAGGTTGTTATTTTCTTTCACAATCTTGATCCGTTTATCATTTTGCGGGTCGATATCGTCATTCTTCACAGTCTCATTCCGTTGAACCTTTTGTAGGTTGATATCATCCCCTTTCGTTGCATCATCGCGTTGATCCTATTGCCTTTTTTTCTCAGTGTCGATACTATCACCCTTTTTTTCAGTATCGATCCGTTCATTTTTTTGAGATTGATATTGCCCTTTTTGAGATTGATATCGCCCTCAGTCTCGTTCCGTTGATCATTTTGGAGGTTGATAACGCCAATTTTCGCAAACTAGTTTGGTTGATGATTTTGCAGATCGAATGGCCCTTTCTCGCAGTTTCGTTCCTTTCATAATTTTCCAGGTTGATATCACACATTTGCCCAATCTGGTTTCTTTGATCTTTTTCAATATTGAGCTTTTTCCAGGATGATATCGCCTTTTTTTGCAGTCACGTTCCATTGATATTTTTCCATGTTCATATCGCCCATTTTTCGTAATATCGTTCCTTTGAGCGTTTTCCAGATTGATATCGCCATTTTTCTCAATCGCGTTCCTTTGATCATTTCCCAGGTTGATATCGCACTTTTTCGCAATTTCGTTCCTTTGATTCTTTTCCATATTGATATCGCCATTTTTCGTAGTTTCGTTCCATTGATCTTTTTCCATGATATATCCTTTTTTTTTGCAATCTCGCAATTTTTATCCTTTTCCAGGTTGCTATCGCCCTTTTTTTTCCAGTCTCGTTCCTCTGATCGTTTTACAGGTTGATATCGTTCTTTCATTTGATGCTTTTCAAGGTTGATATCACCCCTTTTCTCAGTCTCGTTTCTTTGATCTTTTTCGAATGTTGATATCGCCCTATTTCACAATGTCTTTCCTTTGATCTTTTTCCAGGATGATATCACCATTTGTCGCAGTCTCGTTTCTTTGAGCCTTTTCCAGGTCGATATAGCCCTTTTTTCGCAATCTCGTCGCTTTGAAACATTTCCAGTCTGATATCGCATCTTTTTGAAGTCTCGATTCTTTGATCTTTTTCTAGGTTGATATCGCTCTTTTATCGCAGTTTCACGTTTCTTTGATCTTTTCTATATTGATATGACCATTTTTCGTAGTCACCTTACATTGATCTTTTTCCAGGATGTTATCCCCCTTTTTCGCGATCTCGTTCATTTCATCATTTTGTAGGTTGATATCGCCCTTTTGCGCAATCTCGATATTTTCATTATTTTCCAGGTTGATATCGCCCTTTTTTGCAGTCTCGTTTCATTGATCTTTTTCCAGGTTGCTAACGCGTTTTTTCGCAATCTCGTTCCTTTGATCATTTTCCAGATTGACATCACCATGTTTTGCAGTCTCGTTCCTTTGAGCTTTTTTCAGGTTGATATCGCCCTTTTACTTTCATATACTTTTTCAGGTTGATATCGCTCTTTTACTTTCATATTTTCCTGCCATTTCTCGCATTCACGTTTCTTGCATATATTTCCAGGTTGATATCGCCTTTTTTTGTCATTTCATCATTTTGCAGTCTCCTACCTTTCATCCTTTTTCTGGTTGATATCGCTTTTTTCTGACTCACATTATTTTGATCCTTTTCCATGCTGATATCGTCCGTTTCGCGGTCTCGTTTCTTCGGTCTTTTTCTAGGTTGACATCGCCATTTTCGAAGTCTCCTTTCATTCATCCTTTTTAAGGTTGATATAACATTTTTTCTCTGTCTCGTTCATTTGATCCTTTTCCAGGCTGATATCGCGCTTTTTCTCAGTCTCGTTGCTTTGTTCCATTTCCAGGTTAATATCGCACTTTTTCTCAGTCTCGTTACATTCATCCTTTTCGAGGTTGATATCGCCCTTTTTTGCAGTCTCCTAGCTTTCATCCTTTTTCTGATTGATATCGCCTTTTTCTCTCTCTCGTTCCTATCATCTTTTTTCAGGTTGATATCGCTCTTTTCTGAGTCACTTAGATCCTTTTCCATGCTGATATCGCCCGTTTCGCGGTCTCGTTTCTTCGGTCTTTTTCCACGCTGTAATCGCCTTTTTTCACAGTCTGGTTCATTTGATCCTTTTCCCTGTTGATATAGGCATCTTTCGCAGTTTCGCAATTTTGATCGTTTTCCAGGCTGATATCGCCCTTTTTCGAAGTCTCATTTTAGCTTTTTTCCAGGTTGATATCACCCTTTTTCACGTTCCCTTGATCTTTTTCCAGATGGAGATCGCCCTTTTTCGCAGTCGCATTCCTTTATTCCTTTTCCATGTTGATATCGCCTCTTTTCTCTGTCTCATTCCTTTTCCAGGTTGATACTGTAATTTTCGTTGTCTAGTTTCGTATTTCTTTTTATTTGTTATTATCACCCCTTTTCACACTCTCCTGCAGTTCATTTTTCCCAGTCTCGTTTTCTTGATCCTTGTGAAGGTTAAAGTTACGTTTCTGAAACAAATTGTCACGAGCGATGAAGAGTCAATGCTTTACAACTATATGGAACGCAAGAGATCGCAGGGCAAATCTGCAACGAGCTTCACCAGTAGAACTCCGCGATTGATTAGACCAAGATCAATGATGTCAGTAATAGATAAAAAAAATGTTTGTAAAATTAAGTTAGGACAACTCTAGACAGCATTTTTTTTTTTGGAAACGAAACAAAAATTGCTATATCTTGGCTGGCAAGTTTTCACCCATCCACCTCATTCAAAAATATTTCTCCTTGAGGTTACCATTTATTCCGGTCGTTAGAGATTTGTCTTAATTAAAATATATTCCCCTGGAGAAATACAAGAGACATCTATAGCAGTTGTTTTGTTTGTTTGTGTAGATAGATAAACAATTCAGCGAGGCTTAAATATTGAATTTGCTAGAATGATGACAAAAAAGTAAAGGAATAAAGTTTGTTGTTTACCAAAAACTGAAAAAGAAAGCGTCCTTCAGTTTGTCTTAAGAAACAGAATGAGGGTTTGGAGTTAACCTAATATTTCACAGGAAGATACAAGCTTTGATGTTATCTAATACTAAATATTGCAGTTTGATATTATTACGTAACACTACGTGATTTTATGAAAGAAGATCTTCAGCCTTTTTTTATTCCTTCTTTATAAGTGTACTTAATTAATGGGGATATATTCCTTTGTTACACAAGACCAAAGGAGAAGTGTGGAAAGAGTATCAAACGCTGTCTAGCCTAGCTAACCCGACTCACGACCAAACAGTTCCATCAATGATTACAAGAAGTCATCCTTCTCTATCCAGTTTAACATGCACCACAATACCACATCTTCGCAGGGATCCTAATTAAACAATAATAATTTGAAATATTCTTTCTTTATAAGAAACATAAACTAATTATATTATGTTTATCATGTATTAACACAGGGAATATATTCCCCAAAAAAGGAAAAAAGGTAATACAGAGTTTTGTATTTACAAAGTAAAAATATCGATCGATAGGGAAATAAATTCAAGCGTTTCTAACAAAACAGGTTTAAATATATATGAAAATGCAGTGTAAATCATATAAGGCTCCAGAGCAATACAAGTTAGAGGGTTACTATTAAAATGGCAATGTTGAATGAGATGCTTGATATGAATGAGAGAGTCGCTGGCGAAGACTGAGTATAGAGAGGATAAATGATGGCTGACACTTAACTTAAAGAATTTAAGATTTTAGTGATCATGGAAGCACTCACGCGGAAGTATGTTACACAAAATGGCAATTCTTGCGATGAATCTAAGTGAACCTTTCTCCTTGCATTTGGAATACTTTGCATCTGTCCACGGAATCGGTCCACTCTCATGAGTGATTCGACCAGCAGTGAACAGCGGTAGAGAAAGTCCGGATTGAGAAGCTGCAGCCTAGATATGGCAGTAATACTCCAATTTTGTTTCATATGATTCTTGTATAAATAAAGTATGACACAAGTAGCCAGGTGCTTGCCGGAGCGATAGAATGTGCTGGGCAAACACACATAACAGTCACTGGTCAAATATATGTCTTAATCCAATCATTCTTGACAAATCGTGTAATGAAATTCGTATTGAACAGCCACACTTCGAGATCCTTTCACATTAATGGCAGTTGCTGTATTGTAGTAAGGGTTTCTATTTATGATTATTAAATACAATTTTTATTTCTTAACAATATCACTTAAAACGATACAGATTAATACATAATTTCAAAAAATTTAAAAGTATAAAAATTATTCTAATTAAAATTTATAAAATTTAAAAAAATTATTCATCGAAATTTTTTTATTCGTAAGACAACTGTCCATAATATATTTTATTTTCTAATTAAATTCAAATTTTTAATGTAATTCTTAATTTTATTGCATTTTTTATGATTCAGAGTATTTTTATATAACCGTCTGGCAAAAAACATTTGATGATTTAAGTTCACCGAGGACTTCTCCTTATAACTAATATATACATTAAGAGATAGAAAAAAGAATTTCCCAAAATTTCATGAAATGAAATGAGCTGTAGGGGTGGGGTAACAGATTAAAAAAAAAAAGAAAATTTCTTAAAAGGGAAAGTTTCAAAAATGATTTAATTAATCTCTAAATAAGTTCTGAAAGTTTCATTAAAATCCGACAATTATGTAAAACGTTTTTGGTTGTAATGTGGAATTTCAAAAAAAAATATTGTGCTTTATTTTCCATACATATGGCAAAATTACGGAAAATAAAGCATAATATTTAAAAAAATCACATTACAACCAAAAACGTTTGCGCTTTCTCTTCTTTTAATATACACAGTTTTCTCTATTTGGAACTACTATAACCTCTTCCTTTCATCCTTTCATATATATATATATATATATATATATATATATATATATATATATATATATATAAAAAACTGGAGATGTTTGGTGATCGCAAAGCGTGAAACCCAGGGTCACAAACTCATATCATACAGCTGAATATGTTAGCTTCTCTATCAGTGATATTGAGCAATTTCCAATAAGTACTGCGCATATAATATATATATATATATATATATATATATATATATATATATATATATAACATCAAATGGATAACGAAAATGTTGACTTTATCAATTCAAAATTTATTTCCCATTGTAAACCGGAATGCATTCAGTCATTGTTGGTCTGTATCTCTGGTCAGAGTATTACTTTGCCGTCGCCATGTCGTGCGATATATCAAATGAGAATTCTTAGTATCTTGATTAGCGATTACAAACAGACCCACTGATGCTGGACTTCAAATTTCTTTGATATTTTTTTCAACATACAACCAGTTGTGCACGCAACAAAAGGAATGAAGAGATTGGCACTGTTATTCTTGATGGGAGCCGATGCAAAGTTATAATGTCTCGATTCCAAAGGTTAATTTAACTCGTTTGCAAACGAATATCACGGGAAGTTTTCTTATTTTATGTACCATGTCCCTATCAGACGTAAATGATCATAGCTCTCTACAACTTCCTATCCTTTGTAGATTTCGGCAATACTGTATTTGTCTTTTCAATAAGTCTTCTATTATCCCTTTACACAAGTTCATTTGGTAGGTTATTGCTGTTTTTCTCTTTTCCTCTTTTATTTTTATTTGTCCTGTAAGTTTTAAATTCTTCAAGCCTTTTTCCTCATTACGTGTCCAAGAATTTTCAACTTTCTTTTTTTTTTATTATAGTGAAACTGCCTTTTTTTTTTAATTCCCATTGACGGTTTCAAAAACCTGGGAATGATCGCTAAAAAAGCCTCACTTTCGTTTAAAATTTGTTTCTTTCGTTCCAATGTTTGTCTTTCTGATTTTCTAATATTTAGTCTTTCTTTCTTTCTTTCTTTCTTTCTTTCTTTCTTTCTTTCTTTCTTGTTTCTTTCTTTTTAAGGTTCGTCTCTTTCTGACTTTCTCATATTTATTTATTTATCTTTATTTCTTTCTTCGATCATTCTTCGACCTTTCTTTCTTTCTTTCTTTCTTTCTTTAAATTCTCCTATCTTTTTCACTTCGCAGTTATATATTCTTTATCTCTTACTTTCTATCTTTTTCTTTTCTTGCTTTTTTTCAATTTTTCCTTTCTTTTTTACTTCTCTGTAATATTTCTTTCTTTCTTTCTTCGAAGTAATATATTCTTTCTTTCTTTCTTACTTCGAAGTAATATATTCTTTCTTTCTTTCTTTCTTTCTTTCTTTCTTTCTTTCTTTCCCATTCTTTCCTAAAGAACATAATTGAAACAATAAAAGTCTTGTATGAAATCTTTAAATAATTCTCATTTCTCTATACTCCAGTCGATTCAAGTTCTGTTTGAAAAACGTTCCATGTTTCTGAGAAAAAATACACTCTGTCTTGCCCCCTCACCCCTCTATATGCGACACTTCAGTTCCCCTAGTGACCTGTATATTGTGCAACAGCGAGGATTTCGGAACGTAACCACAGGAATATTGGCTGACACTTTTCGGTGTTGTCTTTTGTCTCTTAGCCGGTCAGTACGATTGATTTCGAAATATCTTATACTACTATGGCACGAATATCATCAGTTATTTCTATCCAGGGCAACCGACTCGAAGTTAGTATGAATACATTGACAGCTGAAAGGCACATTGTTTATATACGCAATAAACAGGTACAGTAAAATAAATCCTACATTACCTTGATAAAGTCCCACTGAGGACAAAATAATATTTAGGTCTACTTTGTATTGAGCCCTCTTTTAAATTATATATATATATGTGTGTGTGTGTCTGTGTGTCTGTGTGTGTGTGTGTATCATGAAATGGATTAAGTCCGACCATTATTTAATATATTATATGTTTAGAAGTTATTTTTAAAATAAAATATATTTAAGTAAATGTTCTGTTTTTTTTTTTTTTAATTAAACATTATTAATTACATTTACCGGCCTGAATCTTCTAGAAATTTCTTAGAAAATATGCGTTCTCCGACAGGATTCGAACCTGTATTCCTATAATTAAAACAGACCATTTACTTAAATAAATTCAGGTCGTTAAATGTAATTAATTCTGTTTAATTAAAAACTGAGCATTTACTTAAATAAATTATACCTATAAAAATAAAGTATAAACAGAAAATATTATATACATATATATTTTAAGACATTTTTATGTTTATACATTATTTTTATAGATACAAATATTTAAGTAAATGCTCTGTTTTATAATAAAAAGTATTAATAACGAGCCTAAAGAGCATTGGGTTCCATCCGTCTGTCTTGCCCTAGATACACCACTTCTGCTTTGGCTGCAGTCCATATGTTGTCCTAATTGATTCCGGGACACGTGATGTCGTTTGTGTACAAGTTGCCTTTTTGGGGATGTATCCTTACATAGTTTCCTAATGGAAACAGTCGGAGAAATGGACATATGTCTGACATAAAACAATATTCGTCATAGGAAGTAAATACCTATCAACTCTGGCATCAAGTTTCAGTTGTCGATGAGCGTGCATTAGTCTTTTTGGTTAAAAGATGACGAAATGGACGAATACAATTCTTTACTTTTCCTAGATATCAAGATACACATTTTCAAACTTCATTAGTACACTAATGCATTCAATGCGAAACAAAAGACTCATAAAATATTCCAAAATAAACAACGGTACCTCCTGGCAAACAGTTGTAGAGTAGCTAACACCCCTTCAGCACTCTACCAGATGGCCTGGCTCATAGGCCTTAAATAATCTCATAGGCCTTGATTAATATCTCTACACTGTTTCCAGACTCTACCAGATTGGCTCATCTAAATTATCAACAGTTGATTAATATCTAGCTAGCACTGTTTCAACACTCTACCAGATGGCCTGGCTCATAGGCCTTAAATAGTCTACAATTAAGGACTCCAACAGTTGATTAATATCTAGCTAGCACTGTTTCAGCACTCTACCAGATGGCCTGGCTCATAGGCCTTAAATAGTCTACAATTAAGGACTCCAACAGTTGATTAATATCTAGCTAGCACTGTTTCAGCACTCTACCAGATGGCCTGGCTCATAGGCCTTAAATAGTCTACAATTAAGGACTCCAACAGTTGATTAATATCTAGCTAGCACTGTTTCAGCTCTCTACCAGATGGCCTTCATAGGCCTCTACAATTAAGGACTCCAACAGTTGATTAATATCTAGCTAGCACTGTTTCAGCTCTCTACCAGATGGCCTGGCTCATAGGCCTTAAATAGTCTACAATTAAGGACTTCAGCAGTTGATTAGTAAGTTGATACTAAGCTGATTAATATTCAGACTGATCTTACTTTATTTGGCTATACAGAATTTGACCCTCTTCTATTCCTTGTAAGTTCTCTTGTTAATTGTTTTGTAACTTATTGTTCTGTGTTTTTGTATGTATCCGTTATCACCGGATACTGGTTCTGAATAAATATATTAATCACTCATTCTTGTCTGTGTATCATTCACCTCGACGATACAATACAAACATAATTGATAAATAAAATATAAATAATGTCTTAAGAACTAACTCTATCACAACTACATAGAAAAGAACTTATCTAAACTCAACATAAAATTTGTTACTAATACATCTAAAACAATAAAAAAACAACCAGTTCACCGCACAAGAAAAACTTTTATGATAACATTATAACACTAGATTAATCTGCAGGTAAACAGTACAGACGTACGTACGTGTTTGTATATCTGCGGTGGCGTTCACACACACACGCACGCACGAGCGCACACACACACACATATAAATATATAATTTCAAGCATATTTGGTTGACTAATCTACACGTATTATGTCTATTTTAATCTTCTCAAGTTCATGGCTCAATTTCTTCGGTACAAAACTGAGTAAGAAAAATGCCGTAATTATTGTTATACTTTTATTTCCCCCAAAAAGTTTCAATCTCATCCAAGATCATCTTCAGTGGTGGATATATGAATAAATTAGAATATGTAACTACAAACAATACATACAAAAACAAAAGAAGAAGAAATTTAATTTAGTTTAACGCACCTTATAACCATAAAATAGAAACAAAAATTATTCTTTGAATTATTGAAAATATGCCAACAAAAAATCAAATGGGAAATGATAAAAAGTACCTACAAATAATCTTAAAAATAGAACATGTAAATTATGCCTAGAAGAAAAATTATATATAATAAATTTTAACAATCAGATCATTAAAGAAAAGAAACGAATTAATGGTTAACTTTAGACATTTAAAAAAATATCTACTTAAACACCAATATAACATCATTTTCATAAATTTTAGCAAACATCTAATTTTAATTTTGATTATAAAAACAAATATAGCAAAACTATTCTTAAAATTAATTAATAAATACTTTCCTAAAAATAGTAAACTATCAAAAATCATTAATAAAAATACAATAAAAATCAACGACATAACAAGGAATAATATAGAGAATATAATAAATAAACATACTAAAAATATTAAACATAAATAATAACAATTATAATAAATAATACAAATCAAAATAAAAACAATAATTGTAATTGTCGAATTAAAAATAACTGTCCACTTGATAATAAATGTTTAACCAATAATATAATATATAAAGCAACTGTATCAAATAATATTAATACAGAGCAAAAAATTATATAGGAGCTACTGAGTCCAATCTGATGAAATCCTATCAGATGAAACGCGTCTCAAAAACCTTTCCAGTTTTTCCTTTTCTTCTCTATAGGAGCTACTGAAACAACATTTAAGGAAAGAATTAACAATCATGAAATTTCATTCAAATTAAACAGATACGCAAAGAACACAACATTATCTAAGTATATGTGGACTCAGAAAAAATATACCTGCAAAAATCAAATGGGAAATAATAAAAAGTACCTCCAAATAATCTTAAAAATAAAACATGTAAATTATGCTTAGAAGAAAAATTATATATAATAATTTTTAACAATCAAATCAAATTATTAAACAAAAGAAAGCAATTAATGACATTTAGACATTTTAACAAATATCTACTTTGTAACTTAAACACCAACATAACATAATTTTCATAAATTTTAACAAATAACTAATTTTAATTTTGATATATATATATATAGATGTTGGATTCATATATATATATATATAGAGCGTTTTCATTAAGAGGGATTATATATAAGGGAGTGAGTTTCATTAAGACGGATCAAAGTCAGCAATAAATAAATCAGTGTTATGGGTGGAAATTTATTTATTTTTCTATTCGATCATATTATTTAAGTCATGGCAATTATGTGTGAAAAATAATATCGCGCAAATGTCCGCCAAATTTGAAAGAAAAAGAAAAAAATCATTAAACGCGTAAACTTAATTCACATTTAAAATCGGTCCAAGTTATTGGAACACCCTTATGTGTGTGAGTGATTGTGTGTGATAAATATTAGAACCATATAACTAATTAAAATTAAATTTAAATAATACAAATTAACTTAAAAACCATTTATATTTCAAATATAATATACATGTGTATGTATGTATGTATATATATATATATATATATATATATATATATATACATGCATATATATATACATACACACATGATATATATATATATATATATATATATATATATAAGAGCAGGAACCTATCTTGAACAGATTGATGGACACGCGAGCGAACGACAGGGTAAAACAAAACCCAAATATCATATAAAAAGCAGACATTTATGTAAAAAGATTATATAAAAAATCCCTTGAAAAGTGGACATGAACTACGAAATAAGAATATTTAAATTGCTTATATTAGTGTTGGTAAATTTTAAATACCGGTGTCCATAAAGTTCGTGTGCACTTTAAAAATTTATAACTTTAATAAGGTTATAAATTCTTTCAAATGCACACGAATTTTATGGACACCCTATATATATATATATATATATATATATATATATATATATATATATATATACTTGCGTCGAAGAAAGAAAGAAAAGTCAAAATATGAGAATTACTTTACATTATGAAAGATAAGGAAGACAAAGGTTATAAAAAATAAAACTAAAAAAAAGTCATTCATTAAGACCGGCGTGGTTTTGGTGGATTCTTGACCAAATGTACAAGCGAGAACGAATATCCGCTGTCGTGTGGAAGAGTAAGGTAGGGGAATTTGGGTTTATCTGGCCAAGACAGGACCTATCCTACTAGTTTGTGGGGGTAGGCAGAGATCGCCATTTAGGACCCTTCCTTAACTATATTTTCCCATTTTTTTTTTCGAATTTG